CGAGAAGGTCAAAGCTAAGCCAAACCAAATTGAAGGGGTTTCAAAACAAGGATCCTAATAGAAAGCTGTTTGTAAGGAGGGCACGTTCCCCAACCTGGCTACTGAATGGCACGAGGACAGATCTTGAAAGGATCCCAGAACTCAACAATCAGCAGACTTCAGTTCTTAGTTCTGGGCTAAGTTTTGTCTTGACATTTCTCATAGCTAAGCACTCAGTGGACGCATGCAGTGGAAGTACCATCTTCATACGAAACTGCCTCAGAGTGACACCATCCTCTACTACAGACTTTCTCATAGATGATTTTCAATTCTATTAACTTCATGGATAGAAAGGGGATGAGGGAAGGGGACTGCTCCTGTAGCATCACTGATAAAACCCACAGGAGAAAGTCAGCAACAGATAATTTTTAATTATTTGATTCACTTGTGTCCTAAACAGAAGGATGCCAACTTCCACGCCACGTCCCAAACACTGCCTTCCTCACCATAAAGTTGCAGAGCACCATCTCCCCCCAGCAATTGTTCATAACCACAGTTAGGAAGAAGCATCCCATAAAAGACTAGAGTGGGAAATGAAAAAGACCACCTGTTTCCCATAGGGTTCACACTCCTCAGACCAGGAGGAGTCCAGAGATGCAAACAGGCCTTACAATATGACATAGTAGTAGATAAGGCTTTCTTCAGATAATGTGAAGAAACCTCATATTCATAGATCCTGGTCCTCATGAGGGACTTTCACCATCCTGATACCTGCTGTAGGAACAACACAGCAGGACACAAGCAGTTCAGGAGGTTTCTTTAGTGTATTGACAAGGTATAACTTCGGGATGAAGCAGGGACACAGGTGAACACAGGTTTCTGTGTAAGTTGGAATTTTCCTCCATGGGCTCTGAAGACCTTGTTGCTATTTTTTTTGTGTTTCTTTATCTTCCCTGCTGCCGCTTCACCCTCCATGCAGCATGAAAACAGATACAGTCACATTAACTGGCATGAGGTTGAAATCAATTAGTAGTTTATAACATGTTTGATTCACATCAATTAGGGGTCAGTAACTGATGCAGATAAAAACCACAAAAAAAACCAGAAATGACTAAGCTCTTTAATTCTGCCAGCATGGGAAGAGAGGAGACTAAAGGCCTCCCAAGACTGAAGACTGTCTCTTTAGAGAGCACAAAAATATAGAAGGAAAAATGGAGGAGTTACAGATAAACCTGAGTTCAGTAGACAAGCGTAAAGAGATCCTTACTGAAGTGAGGGGTTACATGCTAAAAGCCCCTTGATTTTCACATTTCACCTTTCAGCCAACAGTGGTAAGGTTTGCTTCTTAAAATTAATTCCTGCATGACTCCAAGCACCTATATGTCTGTGAGGACTTTCAAATAAATAGAACCTTCATGTCCTCTAAACTAAAGAACAAAAAAATGCTGTAGGAATCTTGCAAGGTGGAAAAAAAAATATCAAACTGAGCATTTACTGGCTTTTAAAAATGTAGTTACATGCAAGTAAGGTTATATTCTTCAATAATATGTCCACGTTGCGTACATAAGGAATATCTATCACAGAAAAGTCGACCCATTATTTTCATATCTCATAAAACACTTGCACTATAAAATGCCAACAGTAAGTAGGCAAAACAACCTTCTGCTACCCAATACAATTTAAAGAAGCAAACTGATAATGGTGGCTATCTGCACCACGGCCAAATTAGACCAGGCTATTTAATACATGACTGCTAGGATAGCAATAGCTACAAAACCAGAGCCATTTCTTCAGTCCTGTGTTTAACTGCCCAGTGCAACAAGCTTCAAGTGCTGAAAGCAAGAGATCTTTTGCTAAAGTAACACACTGCCTTTTTGCTTTTGAAATCTGCAAAATAATATTTACTAGCTTCACTAGTTCAATACAATTCAGAACAAACAAACAAAAAATCTTACAGCGCACTCAAATACTGATGAGTTCACTTGTCCTTCAGAACAAAATAGTTACAAGTTCATATCTGTGTGTGTGTACGTGCATCTACTGAAAGACTGAGCAAGAAGAGACACATGTTCTTGTGTGATCTGATCTAGGTGGTCCTGCTCGGCAGGGGGATTGGACTAGATGATCCTTTGAGGTCCCTTCCAATCCCTGACATTCTGTGATTCTGTGATATTCTAGCCAATCTAGCATACGGATAACTGATTTTTTAAGACATTCAACAGAGGGATATGAGTATAGAGTTATGGATAACATAATTGTGATTAAGCCATCTGCATGCTGCCTATACACAATCACAGATTATTATTTAGAAAGAATACACTGTAAACAATCACTCCCATGAAACCTAATTAAATGAAAACAAATCATGGTCAGCACACCAGACTCCCAAAGCACCAGGACATATAGAGACCGGACAGAGAAAATGAGGCTGAACTGTTTACTTAGTAACTACGAAGTCAATGTGCTACTGTTTTCAGAACATCCAACCGAGAAGCTACAGTGTGGAGAGCTAATCCCTGTTTCTCACCAAAACAGACAGGAATGCACACTGGGTAATTTGTTCCTACTGATGATATCATTCTCTTCAGTTTACTGTTTTTAATAAGGAGCAAGTTTCAGTTTTCTCTCACTTTCTCCCATGTACAAGATCAGATCAGCCTCTCAGTGACCTATTTTATGAGTCATAGTCCTCACTATTTATGATTCAGAAAAATGTCTTCTCTGACAGTATTTCCCAGACTACTGTGGGTTCATTCCAAGAACCAATTTCATCTTCATTGGTTTCCTACAGGAAACCAGACCAACTTCCTATTATTTTGTTTTCCTTCATTTCAGCATGGCTCACATAAACTAACTGGAAGTGAGAGTGATAGAAAACTTTATTCTGCATAAACACAAGCCAACATAAACACCACCAAAAAAAATACAGAAGACGTCACTGGTTCAAAGTCATCAGAATGCGAAACAAGCTAAGATTAGAAGTTCTTTTCCCTCCTTCTCCAAACATGGGGCAGGCAGGCAAAACCAGTAAGTTTACACAACCAAAAATTACTTCTTTAATGGTAAAAGCTGTTCAGGTCTCCGGTGAAGAAATCCACCCCTAACAGGTGGCCAAGTTCTACTCTCTCTTCTAAAATCGGGAATTGTTTTAAAAAGGTAAACACTGTTGGACTGTCTTTAAGTCCCATTGACACCATAGCCAAGTCCCCCAATCATCTCAGTCAACAGAATTGGGCTGCCTGGGTTCTTTCCTCAACTGTGACAACAGAAGTATTACTGGAGATGCATAATAAGCACATCCTGAAGAAGCCTATCTAGACTTCCAGTAGGACTTCTAACACTGGCTAAGTATTGGTCTGCTGCATTCAGACCAGCTTCTAAGAGAGTCATTTTGATGTCTCCCCGTTGTGCTCCAAGGCATGTTAGATCTCCAAAAGCCAAGACTCTGTGCCAGATTTGCATTAGCTCAAAACGTCAACGCAGTGAGATACTTAAGGAATAAACATTCCCAGAGCCCATAGTAGTGTCATGCAAGAAGCTATCGCAGCATCACCACCACCACCCCTTTGTTCCCTCCCAGTTCTGTCGGCGCCCCCAGCCACAACACGGAGATAGTTTGGGACTAGAATGTTAGTGCCATGCTAACACCACCAAAGGGACACAAGTAATTTCCATGGAGATCGTTATCCAATGCACTAGTTCAGGAAAACAAATGCTGGAACACCTGGCTGTAAACTACAAACACCCAGCAAGGTTTGCTGGCTCAGGTATCACTCTGCAAATCAGCAGTTAAATGGCTTTCTGGACCAAAGCTGCCCCTGGATTCCTGCAGCCTTGCTCTTATGCTGCTGTACCTGAGCTGATAAACCTAACCAGACTCATGTTTAGCACACAGCAAACTGGATAATTCAATTATGTAAGCAATTTAAAAGCAACGCTATTCTCATCTAATCTCTCCATATTCTGCTGTTTGTCTCGTCGGTAACTGCAGTCTTCCAACGTGATCTCCTCTCGCTGTGTTTCAAGGCTCACAGAGCGAGAGGAACCACACATTGCTTCTTGGAGGAAGGCTGCGTTGCAAAACTGAAGCCAAACTGATTTTCATGAGGCTTAAACACTCCTTCAGTGCTCACCTCAAGAGAGGCCAGGGAGTGTTCCCACTGAAGAACACTTTCCCATTGCACACCATAAGGACAGGGCATACCACTGGCACACAATTCATTTTCATGACAATTTGGTACCCAGCCATCAGTTCCAGTTTGCAATCACGAAGGGAAGTACGAACGAGGTTTTTGCAAGTAGAGGTCACCCATTTGTAAACAGAGCTTTTCCAAGATATGGCAATGTAGCTCAACATACACAAAATGTAAACTAAAGTTGTCCTCTCCACTATTCATTTTCTTTCCTGACGATGCAGCAGTGCTTGCCAGGGTCCAATTACTCATCTTCAACAAGTTTTTTTCATTTCAGTTTCTATAACTTGATTTTTCCAACCAAACCCCCAGAAATGCTATAATACTGCAAGCAGGAGCAAAGCTGTTTTCTCTATTTGCAGGTCAGTCTTTCAAAAAACACCACCTGGATGAAAACTCGTACAGGCAAAGCCTTTCTAGAAGTAACACACTCGGATACGTACATTGATTTTAATGCCCATGGAATAACGTGGTTCTAAGCGCTGTTTGGCCTAACGACACTGCATAATTTCTCCAGCAGGACTGATCAGCAGCCAACTCCACAGCAAAAGTTGTTTCACTTGGTAGAAAAATCAGATTTTTAAACCTGTGGATTTTCGTCGATAATTACAATTTAACCTCACGTATTCTGACATCTTAAAATATATTCAGTAACGAGACTTGTGCAGTAATTCAGCACCACAGCAAACACAACTATCTCGATTTCAGGCAGTATTTACCTGTCAGAGTTAGCAGTTAAAACAGTTATAAATATAAATAATAAAATAATCAAAGCAGTGCACCACCACCAGCGCATGTTCACAGTTCTCAGTGCTGGAAGCCACTCACCTTGACATGGCTCTGAGCTCCCAGGTTGTATATCTCGGTGGGTTTGACTTCATTGATGATCTTCACCAGGCAGGTGCTGTCCGTGAGATCACCGTAGTGCAGCTTCATGTCTTCAGAGGTTAAGAACACAGAGTTAATACAGAACAACATGGCATTTTTGGTCTAAATCCTATTCCAGGTTTAAAATCCAAGTAACATTTATTGGAAAAAGTTAAGACATCATTCACTAAAGTTTTTGTGTGGTTTTTTTTCCCTCTGCTTTAACCACAAGATATGTTTCCTTGCAGGTTCCTAGTAACATTTATATAATTTTTTTAATAGTTTATATTTCATTAACCCAGGCTGTATAAATTAGATCACTGTCCCATACAGAATTTCAGCCATGAAAAAACAAACATTATTTTAGTTCAGGCTTCCAATCTTTCACTCAAAAGTTTTCAATAACTTCTTAAGCACACATAGATAGCTTTCTCCTCCTTCTCAAAATGTTGCACGTTTAAGTTCCTCACTGCAAATAATGTCTTGACACAACAAAAATGCCTAAGGTACTTATGTGATGAACATTCAGGTAACATCACAGTACAACCCATTGCATTTATTACTATTGTTTTTCCATTTAAAAAATATAAATACATACTATAAAGGAATTTCAGAGAATATTTCAACTGTCATTGAAACTTCCTTCATGATATTACACACCAAAAATCCCAAGTGTGGTTAGATACATCAGTTACACAGATGTTATTTATTCTTTCTCAACTGAGCTACTTCTCAATTTGTACATGAAAAAAGTAGTTAAGAGCATGAGAGCAGCTCCTGTCAAAATTAAAAGAGCAGGTTGCAACAGCTTATCAACTTGTCTTTGGTTTCAGATCCTGACCTGTCAAGAAGTTATTCCAGAATTGAAATCCATTCCGATTAAAAAAGTCTCATTCTCCTCTTATTTAAAAAAAAAGAAATAAATTACACCATCACACTGCTATCGCATATTGATTCAACAAAAAGAAAAATCTTGTTACAGCTATTGATGGATTAGCTGTTTACATTTACTTGTCATATTTATATAGATTTTTGTTTGATTTTTTTGACCTCAATAAGTTTGTGTTTATATTGCCCTACCTACAGAAAAAATAAGAAATTCCTATTTCAGTGCAGTTTAGTAGTCTTCCCATTTGAAAATGGTTACTTTTTTGAGGCTGTATCATCTAGAGATAGAATCAGGGTTTTTTTGTCTTTCTTTCTAAATCCAGAAACCAAGAAATACAAGGCTTATGTATTAAGAACCCAAATGTACTCCCCTTTCTGAACCAGAAAAGAAAGTGAACCAGAAAAGAAAGCTTCCCCTAGGCAACAGGGAGCCCTCTTCTTCCTCTCCTTTCCTCAGCTGGGAGTTAAATGAAATCTCCCTGCCAGATGAGCCAACCTTTCAGAGAGGACGGAGAGGACGACACTTTCAAGAGGAAGGCCAGGGAGCAGCAGCAGCTCTGTAGGAGCCTCAAAGTCTGAAAGAGCAACTGGTTCCTTTCCAGCCTAAGCAGCACCTGAGCAGTAAAGAGGCACCACAGCCAGGCTCCCTCTTCCTACACCAAAGACATCCAATTCTGCCACCATCCCCAGGCCACAGAGCAGTCTTAGAGCTTCCCAGGGGAAGGTGGGCTGCCAGCTGGGCTGAACTGAGCAGAGACCCTCCCACCAAGATTACCTTAAATTTAAAGCTCTCGAAGGGGAAGGCCCATTTTGGTCTACCGTCAAGTCTTGCAACGCTTCCTGTCCAAATGGCTTTTTTGAGGGGGAGCAGGGCATGAGACTTTACTCATTTTCTGACCCATGAAAAAGAGGACTTTCAAGAGTAACAGGCTAAGTGGAAAGACTTCCTAGAAATGGGGTTTATTTGGTGCAAAGATTTATAAACACAGATCCGATATCAAAGCCTTTGGGTTTAGTAATATTATTCAATCTAAAAACCTCCTTAGCAAGTAATAGCTGGAGGGCTCACTTCAGCAAACACCTTGTTTTTCTTCTTGTTCTCCCTACTTTTTTTTTGTATAAAGAGGCTCAAGGTGTATGAAGATCATCTTGCAATGTGTAATCAGTTCCTCATGGGAAGAACACACAGGGCAAAGAAAATTAGGAGTTTGCTCACATCAACCACTATTGCTTCTTTGCTTCCTCCAGTTCTGCCTGGAAACCCATTGTTTCCAAACAGTTTCCATGGAGCAGCCTTTCCTGAGATTCCAAGTCCAATTCCTCCTCCTCCTCCCATTCATATGGCTGCATTCCTCAGTTAAAGGAAAATGAGATAAGAAGTGGGGAAAAACATTTAAGGTCTGCTTTCTTTTTCCTTTCTTCCATCCCTTTCCTTAAATATTTGTACACATATTTATCCTGATCTACACTGTCTCTTCAAATCACTTTTCACAGTCACAAGATGGTCCTCACAACGCACAGGCTCTTGGTTTATTTCTTTTGCTTCATTTTACTTTGTGAGCCATGAACATAAGTCACAGGAAACAATTCATACACCGTCCTTGACGGAAACACAGGTTTCAGTATTCTTCATGAAGATATTTTATTCAGTTTTACTCCTCTCTCAATGAGATGTTTTAAGGAGCAATGTACAACAAGTAGCAACTATTTATAGCAAATACCACTGAAGTCATGTCAGAAATTAAGTATTTTTAAAAAAATTACAAGCCAAGATCAAATGAGATGTAAAATTTGCATCATACATTACAATCTGATAAAATTAAGCTGTTTAACCATGGTGGGAAGCAGACTTCAAAAGACATGAGATTTATTTACAGCATGGAGATATTTAGTGTTAACAATACCTTAAATCAGACTATTTAGGACAGTGTCAGTCTGCACAACTCTACAAAAAATGCATAGCATATATGAACTATAGGCTTGTTAAAATGTTCAATCCTTCTGCTGAACTGGAGCCAGCCACCATTTGAGCTTCTTCTCATTGAGTGACCAGTTAAATTTCAAGGTAAAATACTCAAACAATTTTTGCAAAGCATACACTAAAGGTAATGATTCCATCTCTCCAAATTATCCTTGGTAACAGAGAATACAAGAAATTGTCAGCAAATTTCCAAAAGCAATGCTTTTCCTTCAGGAAAAGCAGATAATTGCTTCCTTGGGCACAGAAATTCAAAAGACCCAAAGATTCATTCTTCCTGTCATTGGTATGAATTGATCATGTCTTATCCATGCTGTCACATAGGCTGTCCCCAAACCTTCACCTCCACCAGGCACTAAGAAGTTCATGAGGAAACAGAAGTGGAAGGCTTCAGATAACTGCCTCAAAAAAAACCAAACCCATTTTATCACAGTGTTTTCAGCCTCACATTGCTTTTTGCAGGCTTAGCCATTTGCTAATTGCTATTGCTTAGCTACATGTGCACTATGTCAGCATTTCTACACAACAGAAAGTGCCTTCCTGGGCCCTTCGTTTACCTCCCTTGGTAACTCCCACACACAAGAGCATCTATACTTTGTGTCACATTCTCATCAGAGAAAAATTGTCACTTTTGCTTCTGCGATAGAGCAGCTAGCAAACACAAACAGAGAAAAGGGAAGATTGACTATCAAGGGTTTTTGTTTGGTTGGTTTTTGTTTTACACAACCAATCCTAAGTCAAGCACAGTTTAAAAATAACTACTCATTAATAACATTTAGGCAGAGGAAACTGGGATTCCCTTCCTGCTCCCAGGGACCTTTCTCCACCAAACACACACCACAGACTAAAGAAACACCCAAACCTTAAACACAAAAACAAAGTCTTACTTCCTTCAATGTGAGCCTGGGGGTTCTTGTAGAGATGTTCAATCCGGCCTGTATTAAAAGAACTAGACCGACGAACGATGCCATGCACCTGGAGATCGAACAATGGAAAACACAGAAGGAAAACGGTAAACATTAAGAGGAAAGTCTTCATCATCACCACTGCTCTTTTCATTTACACAGGCCTAACCCTTGTATCAGGTAATCAGAGCTTGTCTCCATTCCTGAAGGCAGACAGTTATCCAAATCGTAACAAGATACTTGGAGATGAGCTCTGATGTTGTCATATTTATTTTAGAACCCTTGAGTGGTTTCACCTTCTCCTTTGTCAACACTGCTAGCAGCCCAGGCAACACACACAGTACAGAAAACACAATGACTTGCCCTAGAGCACCATCTCCTAGTGAGTGAGACCTGCCAACGTTACCGGAGCTGGAGAAGCAATATGTGAATTCCAAGATAACCACTTCCCCCTGGTTACAGAGAAGTCTTTCTGGAGTCAGAGACAGTGGACATGGAAAAAGCAGTAGCAGGAGATGGGGCTAGGGAAAGGACAGAGGCAGCAGAGAAGAAAAAAAGAAGATGACGAGGAAAAATGGGCAGTAGCTACAAGGCCCAAATATATTTTAGAAAACAGTCGTTATTCACTTTCTGGGGTGTCGGAAGAACAGCCTGAACAGTCAGTGCTGGTTTATGGACCTCATGAGTCAGCGCTCTCCAATGGGAGGCAGGCAAGCCTAAGGCTGAAATGCAGGCTGGGAATTTCCTTTAACCAGCCACGATAAATAAGTCAGTGAATAAACCCAACTAGTTCTGACTAACATTAAAGAAAAGCCTGTTTGTGTCTAATACATTAGAGAAATTGTTCAAACACTGATCCCATTTCCTCCTTCTGTAAGATAGCTCCACGCCTGCTGCCAAAATTCACATTAGCTTAGGTCACCAGCTGCAGAAGCTGTGCTTCCACAAGTGAAATCAAACTTCAGCTTCTGACTGCCCTCCGCTTCTCCCTGCCTTTTATTTCTGAAAGTGATCCTGTGCACTTTGGTGCATCCTACACCTGGTTGGGTTGGGCCAGCGCTCTACTCTCTCACCTCATGTTGACTTGTACCTGCAAGAATATACCAGCAGAAACAGGCAGCCGTGTTTGGGGGTTTGGTTCTGTTTGGTTCATTTGGGGATTTTTCTTTTACACATAACACAAGCTATGGTTATTGATGGAGAAAACACTTTTTTTCCCCATCTTAAGTCTGAAACTTAACTGAGTAAAGTTAACCACAGTTAAGTTAATGCACAACTGCAGAGTGAGACCAGTTTGCTGCTTTAAGAATGACATTTTGGTGGCAAGATCTCTAATGAGAGATCCATCTTTACAACTTGCAAGTAAAATTTATGATGCCAATTACCTTGTATAAAATCTCTTGTGTTTCCAGCCACACAACAGGCTCACAACATACCTTGTTCTAAGATTCAGATGCTAAACTTTAGACAACTGAGCAAAATATTTGTGTTTTGAGAACCAATGGGGAACTGAGATGGCTCTCCAAAATAAATTTCCATCAAGTAATGAATTTATGAAAACAAATTTTCAAAGTTACATAGCTAAAAGTTCTATCAAAATAATTATTTATAGAATGTGTGGATAATTTATAAGGTTTACAGAGAAACACTTTCTAAAAAAAGACACTTCCATAATAACTTCACTTTTGCAAATGATGTTAGAAATATTTTGAGTACTCAGATGAACACCTGTTTTGCTGAGAAAAAAAAAATCAATCAGACTTTGCAGTTTTAAACCATCAAATTATTCTACAGCAAGCTAACTGAAGCGCTCTCCAACTCTTATTGCAAAATTAAACATTTTGGCTTCAAGTCCTGATGAGAGAATTCTTGAGCTCCCAATTATCTGTCTCGGAATGAAGTCATGCTGAAATTCAAGTTCACGCAAACGGTTGACCAATAAGTCGAATCTTGCCAGCTCAAAGCTTGATGAAAGACTGTGCTTGCAAGAGCTTTGTGTCAGCTGAATGACTGCGATACCAACATTTGGCCAATGAGATGTGCTAAATGCAATCACCCCAGGACTTCAAAAAGTTTCAGCAAACAAACAAATCCAGAGAGCCTGTTGCATCCAGTGATAACAAGAAAACATGCAAACCCAGCTTTTTTTTTTTTCTCTTTTTCTTTTTTTTTTCTCCCACTCCTTTTTCTGGTATGCACATACAAGAGAAAGAAAACCTGCCAAATGCTTAATCCATGACAGCAATATTACCGTAAAAAAACTGTTGAAAGGTACCTTTGTCTGCATGGGACAGGTGAAATGCAAACTTTGTGACAAGCCAAAATGTGTGCAAACTGGTTCATCTAGTTAAGAATGTAAGATCAGTGGATTTTTTCCTCAGTAGGGCTTGATCTTTAAATAGATTGAAATTTAGAAGTCAAATGAACCACCTTAGTTAGGGAGGCAAGCAGTTATCACGTGTACTCTTGTGTTCAGTAATTCAGAAACAGAAGTCTCTAAACTGGGAGCACAGGAAAGAATTCCAAGAAACAGAGGGAGAGTTGAGGAACAGAAGAAAAAACCCTCCACCCAATTATTGTAACCTTTCTATTGCGGAAAGGGTTGTGTTTCATCTCGGTTGCAGTTAGCAGTTCCCAATTTCCTTGTGGACTAGGAGAGAGCTTGTGCTTTTTACCTTTAAAGTAGCAGAAGCAATCACAATGATATCTCTCTTCCCCAAACAGAATGGAGAAATAGTAAAAATAAACAATTTACAACACTGAAAAAACACCACCAAAAAGGAGATCAACCAACAAAGCAGGAGAAGGATGGAATAAGCAATGCAAGGTTAACCATGTCCAAAAGCATGGAAAGCAGAGACTGGCTGAGAAGAGACTCCTCACTAAGCTATGAAGCAGTATTACAACCGAAGTAATAAAATCCAACATTAGAATGAGCATCAGCTTGTACTAAAAATGCAGAAAACACTACATTGCGAGGAGATTAATTTGACCACCCCTTTCCTTCCATTATCATACAGTTTGGAAGCATTTTTCATGACTGAGAAGGCAAACGTTCTCCCATCTATGCCCACAACAGTTCAAAACCATCAAATTGTACCATAATAATGTGATTGTTGCTTTGCTGGGCCACAAAAGAGATGATTTTGCCAGGGAAAGTCATGCAGCAAGAAGTAAGGAATCAGACTCTCTATTTTAAGGAAAAGGTAAATAAAAGTCATGTGCTAAGCAAGAATATAATTAATCGAAGAGAAGGGGTGGAAAGTAACACTACTGAAGTATATTTTGAGGTTTTTTTGGGGGGAGGGTTGCTTTTTAAACAGAGAAAGCAAAATGTAAGCTTTTCATTGCTGAAGTACAACTTCCAAAATAAAAGGGCCTTTAGTGTGGATAGAGAGGGGGAGGAAGAGAACGAACGAGAGATTCTTATTCCGTTATGTGGTACATTGCATCATAAATTATTCTCTAATTCCTTACGGTTTTGGCTCACACAGACCGCTGCTTATCTGAGTTGGCGGGAAACATGCAAAGCAGCTGTACCCTGAGGAGAAGAGGGAACCCACCAGTGGACATTAGGTGATAAATAGTACAATAAGCTGGCATGATTACAGGCCATGCTGCACATTCCTCTCCGGAGTTTTGATTTGTTATCTAGGGCTGGAATGGAAAACACACACGGAGAAGGACAGAAGCAGAGGAAGCCGGAGCTGCAGCATCCCAACGGCTCCGTCGGCCCGCAGCCGGTCACTGACTCACTCACCTCGTAGCCTTTTTCCAGCAGGAACTCAGCCAAGTACGACCCATCCTGGGAAGAGTTAAGATACAGGAAAATGTTAGAAACACAGTGAATGGGCCTGGGAGATTTGGACTGGTTAAGGTCTCAAAAAAGGGAAAAAAAAAAATATTTGCAGTGAGTTGATCACATAACAAGCATATACTTTAATTTCTCCAGATTTATACACCGACCTAAAAATATTATAGACACTTTTTGGTTAGTTTTATATTAAAAAGCAGTATATTTTAAGATAACTTGCTTGCAAATGCTGCTTGAGAACTCCTGTCTCTTGAATCTCTTCCCAAGTTCCATTATAAGGCGCCTGGGGACGTCTTTCCAAAATATCCTAACCACAGTTATTGAATTTGAACTATTTTGGAGACAGGGAAGGAAAAACATTCTAGAAAAACTGGGGCGAGCTTGGCATACCCTGGGAACCGACGTGTCTCCGTAGGACTGTGTCATGCTCACATCTCCCTTGCACACACGCTCATTCCACAAGCCTTCTGAAGGCATCGATAATTGCGCCCACCTGACCAAATGAGTTTCCAAAAACCATCCCTAGCACACCCTACAATACACCACAGAATATAAGCCATTTTCACATTCTATATATCACGGAGGGTTGAGAATTTGGGTTTTGTTTTTTGTTTAGGGGTTTTTGGTTTGGTTTTTTTTTATTCTTTCCTTTTAAATCCTTGTCAAACAAATTATTTAACTCCCAAAAAGCAAATACTCCAAAACACATGCTAGTGCATGTTTTCCCAAAATAAGATGATTTTCCTGGCATCACTATTGCCAGGATTATCAAGTCAGA